AAGGAAGGAAGGAAGGAAGGAAGGAAGGAAGGAAGGAAGGAAGGAAGAAAAACAGACAGACAGGCCACCTAAGAAGTCAGTAAAGCAGAGTTCTGGACATAGAGAATTAACTATGTAAGAAGACCTGCCCTGGATGTGGCCAACACCATCCCAAATGCTCGGGACTGACTTGGAATAAAAAAGAACAAGGTTGCTCACACTATGAGTCTATCTTTGCTTCCTTGTTACTGTGAGGTCAGCTACTCTGCTCCTCAAGGCTCTTAGCACTCTGATGATCTGAAAACAGGAGACAAAATAAATCGCCCCTTCTAATTTTAAGCTGTTTGTCAGGCATTTTGTCACTCCGATGAATGGCTCCTGGAAGGCAGCATGTTGAACAATAGATAAGATGCTGAAAGGGCTCATGAAATCCTTAACTGACAGGGATCTCCATGCCATATGCAATGTCTGGCCCCTGAGGAAAGCGAGGAGGAGGAGCTCATCTTAGAATTTCCTGAGGAGGGGTCACCCAGAGCTCACTTCATGTAGTGATACTTTGTTAATGCTGAAACAAATAAAACTTGACTGAAGATCAAGTGTGAAACCAGTCACATTAGTTAGCCATAGAGGCTAGGCGGTGGTGGTGGTGCACACCTTTAATCCCAGCACTCTGGAGACAGAGGCAGTTGGATCTCTGAGTTCCAGGCCACCCTGGGCTACACAAGACTGAGTCAATCGAGAAGAGAAACAGAGCTCACGCCTTTAATCCCAGCACTAGGGAGGTGGAGACAGGAGTGCTATGGCTGGGCAGAGAAAGGGATATTAAGGCAGAAGGAGACAGGGGCTCAAAGCGTTCAGTCTGGGGTTTGGTAGGAACATGATCGCCCCTTTGGTCTGAGGATTCAGAAGAGGTAAGGACTAGTGGCTGGCTGCTCTGCTTCTCTGATCTTTCAGCTGACTTTCAATATCTGACTCTGGGATTTTATTATTAAGACCAATTAGAATTTTCTCTATAACCTCATGTTAGGAAAGGAGGCACGCTATTGGTTTTTGTTTCAACCTTTTTATTAGTATTCAGTTTTTAAGATGGTATCTGCAGTCTGGTTTGCTGTTGCTGTGGTTATTACGTTTGAAGTAGTTGTAGTTCTCTGAGGACCCATGTTTACGAACTTACCAGTTACAGTAGTTGTGTGTGATTAAGAAAGGCAGATTCTACACCCCTGAAACAGTTACACTAGTTGCGTGTGATTGAGAAAGGCAGATTCCACACCCCTGAAACAGTTATCCCACTAATTCCTTCAGAGTAGCTCCCCCAAAGACTGGATCCCTCAAAATGGGTATCCCATCATCAACATGGAGAATGGGTTAGTCACACCGTTTTGAGATCATCCATCTAGGAGAACTGGTGGAATGCACGGGGTGAAACCACACCCCAGTCCACCTGCCGCAGAAAGGAGATAGCAATCAACAATCTCGTTCAATGAACTCCACAGGTGTGCAAGACACACGCTCACATTGGAAGAGGGCTTTTTAAGGTGGCACTTAAGGAACGCGTCAGTACTTCAAGTCATCTGTGGGAGTACAGTTTTCCAGGTAAGGGATGTCGGATTGTTAGGATGGATGGAGGAGTCAAAGGCCTGAGCATTGCTAGTCTGTGTTTCAGTAGATTCTCAACAACTTAACAATGACTGCTTTCTTTCTCTGCTCTGCTAACATCCAATATATGCAGGTCTGGTCCTGACTGAGGATATATAAATCCAAAATAAGCCCTTCTTCCCCGAAGGAGTTTCTTGCCAGATATCGCAATAATAAAAAGAGAAGCTAATACATCAGTGCAGGGGTGCGGTGTTACCTCATTTCTTTGACTTTTAGTCCCCTATTGGCAGACAGTGTTGGGCACCTGAGCATCAGCCCCAGGCCTCATGGCATGTATTTAGAGCACTTAATTTGACTTATTGATTGAAAGGGTACTGCCACCTTTTCCTCTTTTTCCCCCACTTAATCTGCCCTTTGTAGGTATTAGCTAAAGTTTATAGGAGACCAAGGTATGGGGTAGACTTATTATAGATGCTTTTGGAAGTATAGTGATGTATCTTTTTAAATATTGTCTATGTCAGGTTGTATCCACCATTTTCCAAAAAACACAGTCTTTCCATTTCTTCTTAAATTCAACAACTTATCAAAATATGTGCATCTTATACCCTTGAATCCATTCATCTCTTCAGTTTCAATAATTCTTTCTGCAGTCATTGTGTGGTATCTATTTTATTTCCCTTCAAAGCATGAATCAGTTATAATAGTTTCTAACATAATTTTGACCTAATTTGAGTTGTTAAATTTTTATTTGTTTGAAGAAAATGAATTAAGTTATCTCCAGCACACTTTTAACATGCATAACTTTATTGAGAGCATTTTTACTAGTATGATAAACTCCTGGGTTCCATATGACTGAGTAGAGGAGTCCCTGGTTAGTCACTTTTTCTAGGTGTGTACATGGGGCCATTCTGGAAGAGATTAGCCCTTGAGCTCTAGACTCAGACTCTCTCACCAATATGGTGGAAGGGTCTAAAGTAAAAACAAGAGGAGGAAGGACAAATTTGCTCCCTCCTCTCTACTTGAGTTGGGACACCCATCTTTTCCTGCCATTAGATTTTGGTACTCCAGTTTTGGGGGTCTTTGTGTTTGGACTGGAAGCATCCCACCCAGTTTCTTGGGCCTCCAAGCTGCCGAGGATAGACACAAGACTTCATAGCTTCTATAATGTCCTGAGCCAGCTGTCCCATAGTGAATCTCTTGCTCTGTATATACACATTTCTTCTTGGTTCTGTTTCTCCAAGAGCTTGAAGAGAGTTACTGATAAATTATAACAGAGAACAGTCAAGAAACAAACAAACGATCAGGAGAGTATAAATCACTCAGGAGCTCCTTGTCCACATGGAATGTTTGTGTGTTAGTGAACAGACTTTAGATATAGGTATGAAGTATTGCTTTTCCTTAAAACTCCCTTACATCTTGTATTTTCATTCAGTTAATGGTCATACATTAAATCATCATAATATTCAAACACTATCTTATCAATAGTGAGCATTTAGGGTTTTTTCCATTTTTCTGGGAACTTTATTCTAATGAACAATATTAAACATACACATAAAGGGATTGCCTTACACAATCACTTATCTCTTTGAGTACATTCCATCAAATAACAAGCACAATATCTTGTACTTTCTACACTGGCATACTGATGGGTAGTATTGACTTTCCACTAAAGTATAAATGCCATCAATAGAATCCAATCTCTACATTCAATGGTAGCCTTTAATATGTTATAGTCATAGCTCATATTTTTTCTTCTTTTAACCTCTACAAAAGTTGGATGTTTTCTTTGTATTGAGTTATGTATTTTTTGTTGCTGTTGTTTTTCGAAACAAGGTTTCTCTGTAGCTTTGGAGCCTGTCCTGGAACTAGCTCTTGTAGACCAGGCTCTCAAACTCACAGAGATTTACCTGCCTCTGCCTCCCAAGTGCTGGGATTAAAGGCGTGCACCACCACTGCCCAGCTGTATTTCTTTTTAAATTGTGCCAGTTCTTCATTTTTATTACCTTTTTTCATTAATTTTAAGAAATTTTGCATATTAGGGAATTCTTTTATATTTATTGCAAACATAATCTCAAAATAATATTTGTGTTTAAATAATATTTTTCTCCTCTTTATCTCAGAAACCTTGTAATTGATACACAAAAGTAGAAATAATTGTATCAACAGACCACATGTAGAAATGTCCTATCATCAAAACTTACAAAGATTTTAGCAACTTAGCTCTAAGTGTGAAATCTTCTCTAATGTTGTTGTTGTAAGCAAAGCTCATTCCACCTATAAATGTGTCAGTATGTACCCAGAACTACAAGGTTACCATGACAACTACATGTACAACCTTTCCCCAACTTATCCACCTATAATACCTAGCTGCCTACCCCTGTGAAGGCCCTTGCACAACATCTGCCCCTTCCAAACCCTTGCTGCAGTCTTTCCCCTAGGGACTGCTTTCTGAGACTTCATTTGTTTTTCCTAGCTTCTTAGACACACATCTACAGATTTCAGTATCAAAATCTATTTTCACAAAGTTTTTTATTCCTTCATTTATCTGTTTTCCACAGACTGTAGCATCAGATGAGGAAGGTTTCTGAAGTCAGTCGTGATTCTTGCCTCCACTGCCTTTCCCCAGAGCTCTGTATTTCCAATCTAAACGACAGTACACGCTGAAATCACAAGTTCTTCCTGATAATTTTCCATGTTGTGGGCATTTACATAGGCATTTGGGGAAGTTACGGGTTTTCCCCAAAGCATTTCCCACTCACCACAACAACCCAGCTTACAGCCAACTTCAGGATTTCCCCCAGATCAATATACTTATTTTAGTGCCAAATTAGCACATCCTCATTAAATCTCCCTTTGCCTATGCAGCAAGCATCTTTCCCAGAACGCTGCTTTCACCAGCTCTCTGTCTTGTTTTACTCAGGAGGACTTTCCCAGGAAAACCATGCCTCTAACAAGACATGTCTAACTTCTCTCTCAGGGCATCAGTACACAGAATAAGGTCAGTTGGCTCTTTGTGTGTTTTGCAAATGGTTCAGGTGAGGAGAATCTGTTACTTCTTCAGGATCACTCAACCAATACTGAACTTCAGCCATAGTTTTGCAACACCATCACCACACTATCTGATAGAACTAACCTAAGAGGGTAAAGATTTCTCTTTGCTCATGATTTCAGAGGGTTTTCACCCACCATAGCAGGGGAGACATAGTGGAAGAGCTCAGTTCACACAGCCCGAGCATGTAGCCAAGGCTGTTCACATCACAGCAGCCCAGGAAATGGGGAGTAGAGGCTGAAGCCAAGGGCTCAGCTCTCACCTTTAAAGGTTCGTCCCTAGTGCTCTACTTTGACCAGCTATGTTCTACTGCATAAGATTTACATACCAAGCCAGAAGAGCATCATCATCTGGGGAAATAGGTAAGCATCCAAAATATGAACCTGGAGGAGAGGCACTTCAGATTGAAGCAGTAACAGTGCCTATTCATGATCAATTCATAAATGATAGGCTTAGTGATTGGGCATGTGTGGTTTTGAGTGTACAACAGATTTTGACTGATTGAGCATAGCCACTTCATGGAGCTTGGAGCCTTTGGGGGCAGAATAACATAAAAACAAACAAACAGAAACAGAGAGACAGGACGCGCTAAGAGGCAATGTGACAAATACGAGCAAGCTTTTCCCAGAAGCTCTTCTCGGTTCCATACCATCTTCATGGAAACGCATTGCTTAGGTCAAAACTAACCCATGGGATACCAGTCAAGAGAATTGATAGACAGTGTCTCCTGGAAACATGATTGCTTATAAGGTGAACTGAGTGATTTGCTCAAGACTGAAGAGAAAAAAATCATTACCACTTGTGATTCTCCCGACTCTTCTATCTACCAAAACAAGGCAGAGCATCTAAGGTTGGTAGCATGTTGTAGCATCAAAGCTTTCACCCAAGCATGGAGGGCCAGTATTGCCTCGTCAAGGCATCTCATGTCACAGTAGAGCCTAAAATCAACTCTTTGGTGTTGACTACAGTCGTTACAGTGATTCCCAAAGACTTCAACCAGAAATGGTTCAACACGAGGGCACCTTTGCTGCAGTTCTGGACTCCTGCACCAGGGACGTCAATCACACATGACCCTGTTGAAAACCAACATCCACTGAAACAAAAGACAATTGTGAGTATAAGGATGAGGTGAAAAATAGATTCTAGAGGAGAATAGACCCCTCTCCCTGATGTCCTCAGAAGGCCCTCAAACCAAGTGCCCGTCCCATCCCACCCTTGACCTGCCTCAGCCCGTAAGAGCTTGATCTTTTGTCTCTGAAAAGACAACAGGATTGGGTCTTTAAGTGAAGAAATAAATAGTAAGTAGTTTTCCAGGTTTTCCGCAGCGATGTCTCGTATTTGACAATCTTACACTCCCCGACTTGACAGTCTGCTTTCACTAATCCATATGCATATAAGGTGTATATTACCCCCACGTCTACGAGATTCTCACTTAGCCAACGACATCTGTCTTTGAACTGTCATGAAATGCTAGAATGATTCTTTTTCTTTTGTGGTGTCAATTCCTCTTTCTGTCATTATTAACCCTGTTAAGTACCCTCTTCCCTCCCCTTCTGAAAGGCATGAACTGAGCGCTCAGTTTCAAACATACCCCCTTAGCACAGCCAGATGGCGGGGGAGAAGCACATCTAGCTATCTGCTTCATCAAACATCTACTTTCCCTCCATCAACGGGGAGTCGGCCCTTTTGTACATTTAACAAATTCAAGCAATTTAGCAACTGGGTTAAAGTCTATGTAAAGTACTTCAACAACATGGGAAATGAAGACACTGGTCTTCTGTCTGAGAACTGGTTAATGGAAGGCGTGAAGTCTCAGAACGCGCACAACAGTGGGTTCTTACAGTGCCGCCTAATGCACTGCTGGGAAAACCTTGAGAAGTTTCCCATCACGGGGGGGGGGGGGACGGGGGGAGGCGGGTTGACAGTTTTTGCCTTTGCTGTCAGTTCCACTGTGGGAGGCTCCTAAATTTATTATGCCTAGGAAAGGATTCTAGCACACTTCTATCTCACGAGAAGCAAAGAAGCAAGGCATACAGCGTTTTCTTCAATGAGAACTATTGCCCCCTACTATGTGTGTACAGAGGCCAATGCAGGCAAGCACATGGGCGGTGACCAACGAGCTCTTCTCTGTCTACCTTGATCAAAGGGAAGCTGAGCAAGAACTCAGTCCTGCTTGCCTTTGTACATCAGTCAGTTTAACTTGATAGATAGATAGATAGATAGATAGATAGATAGATAGATAGATAGAT